GACAAAAAAAGATTAGCAAACAACTTTAAAAAGATGTTCTTTTTTCTTAAAAATAACCTTTTAACGCTCTGAGGTGCAATAAACTTGAGAGATATAGTTCTAATTGTGATATGGCTGCCGACATCAGCAAAAAATGCAAAGCCGCTTTCTATGGTCTTAAAAAAATTTCCAAACTATCCCACATCCTTGATAAAAGTCAAATGGAGAGGCTTGTCCATGCCTTTATAACTTCACATCTTGACTACGGAAACAGTCTACTGTATGGTCTTCCTACCTATCAAATTGAAAAATTGCAATCTGTCCAAAATGCTGCAGCACGACTACTGACCAAAATCCCTCTCAGATCAAACATTTCACCCATTTTATTCGAACTACATTGGCTTCCTGTACGACAGAGAATTGTTTTTTTTAAATTACTGTTGTTTGTTTTTAAATTCACTAGAGGTGAATGCCCCTCATATCATAACTCGATGCTACATCCAAGTACACCNCAACCCTTAGATTTTTCCCCCCCCCCCCCTCCCCCCCCCCCCCCCACACACACACACACACACACACACACAATGCTTACGGACCTGCTTCAACTTCAGACTCATCCTAAATAATTCAGATCCATGGGAGCCTACCTGTAGTGTGCCTTATAAAATGAAACCCGCTTAATGATTTACACAGCATCTTGTCGATTACCCTCATTCCCCTGTACAGATACTGGGGCGTCAGCTCAGCGGTACGACCCCAGATGTTAACGCCCTCCATCTCACAATGACCACTGGCAGTCTCGTTAAAACAATAGCTGGACACCATGTAGTGGGCGTAGTCGGTGTCAGCGAACTTGAACGTGTTAATACCTGGAATACCATCTTGATAAGTTTAAAGGAGATTTTTTTAAGAATGAAGCGAAGGAAATAACGGTGTGTGTGTGTGTGTGTGAGAGAGAGAGATTGTGAAAGAGAGAGGGGAAGAGGTGTATGTGACTGTTTGTGTGGGGGGAGTGGGGGCACGTGCACGTATTTGTGTGTAGTGAACCGTTAATTAGTGCTGAATATATAAATTAATTGAACGAATATGTAAATCACATGTGTTTAAATTTATACTATCAGCACTAATTAACGGTTCACTACATTGTGTGTGTTAAAGTGAAAATGAGGTTGAGCTCATAAGAAAGCAAGAAAGAGGTCTCCCTTTCTGTGCATGTGCGCGGAGAAAGACAAAAAAAAAATGGGCGAGATTAATAGAGGAGAGAAGAGAGAAAGTAAGAAGGAAAGAAAAATATAAAAAATTGACAGAAAAAGGAAAAACCCTGTGGACCAGAGAACTTGCCGTAACTTTGGACTATAGTGTATTTCCCTCTCACTCCAGTTGGCTCTAATTTGTCAAATGCATTGATGTCGATGCAACTCGCCCCCTTCTCGCTGCAATGTAATTGGGACGGCATTAATTGTAAATTTATTTCAAATTTTATGTATTCGTTGCCACAAGCAACCTACATTTACATACAGTACACATCCCGCTGTGACCTGCATCATATGTAGTACAACATAATTTAAGGTAAATTGGGTGATATTTTGACGCCAAATACACCACAGTATACCTGATTTATACCCCCCCCCCCCGTACATACACACACAAATACACACATAATATACGTGTGTGTGTGTGTGTGTGTGTGTGTGTGTGAGGAGCTGTTAACTCATAGGCCTAATTGCGTTTTAATTTCAGTGTGGCCTAATTTCATACAAGTAATTTACAGCTACAGCGCTAAATGTTGCGCACAACATGAGAGCAAAATTAAAGATACTTTGGTTTTCCTTTAGTCGTCACTGCAAGCGCCCCTGTTTCACCAAGTGTTATGTTCATTGCAAAATCCAGCAACACTTCTTCATGAGGAACCTGAGGATAGGACCGCCAAATGATACTGTACCACATACCTTGTATCTGGAGATGAAATGGAACAAAATAGATCAATTGGATGAGAATTTCTGAATTCCATCGTTTTAATATTTTTCCTAATGTAACTTCTTTTTTCTGATCAACCATTTAATTATAAATCAATTGATTAAGTGTAGAATAAATGTGCTTTCCATCCATATTTAGTCTATTATCGGTTTGTGAAATACATAATTCGGGTGTGTTCATAAATCAAGTTTGAACATTTACTAAATTGTTTTATTCTTAAGAAAGTTTTGTTTTCTAGGTTGCATCTTCTTCAGCGTCTGCATTTTATGCTTCTTTACATTGAATTCCGCAGATTAAATAAAAGAATAAAGATTTGCCTCTGCTTTTCCAGCAAGCCGCCCATCGTCCGCCAGCTTTTTTTTCCATAAAAGTAAAACCCTGCTGTGTTTATATCATTACCAAACCGTGTACAGCAAAAAGAGCAATTAATTAAGGATTTTCTTCCCTCAAATTTAAATTCATCCCATAGGCCTTGGAGAACATTCTTAGTAAGGAAGATTCTTTAAAAAAAAATGAATTTTGTGTATTATTTGCATAATTTTGACTTCTATTTTTTTATGATATTATTATATTGATTATTCTATACTCTCCAATATGGCAACAAACCAGCGGTGATTAAAATGATTTAAAACAGACAGAGATGTGTGCGTCAATGACCCGACACTAATGTTCACTTTTTTGGTAGAAAGATCAATATACGCCGGTCTCAACACGACGCGTTCGGTACGCTTCTCTTTTGCCAGGGTTTTCATCTTACCTTTTGTGGTATGAGATTTAACATGGTGTCAACAGGTTGCCAGACCATGCGTCTCTCTCCTAGGACGTTAGGATACATCCCCCAGAAGTACCCTGATGCATTTTGTACCGCCAAAACAACGAGAAAAGCGTATGTGAGTGTGAGTGCCGCCATGCTTGTGAAAGATAGCTGATACGAAAAAAAACTTCAATGTAAGTATGCATATGTTAACTTCTAATGCCCCTAAATTTTGAATTTAATTGCATGGAATGGCTTTGCAGAGAGTTGAATTGGATATGAAATCTAGTCTGGTGGGGGAAGATAACCCTAAATAAATTGCTAGTGTCATATTAGATAGACTTGAGGTAAATTTCTATATTTACAAATGTAATTATTAAAAATTCGCATAACACATGCAGTTCTACTACATTACACACACGGATTGAGGGGGAACAAAGAGCCCCCCTACCTGAAACTGCATTAGGCCTACATGACCTTTTCTCCACTTCCATCGCATAAAATAAGGAATAAATAAATAAATAAATTAAATCAAAATGGAATTAAATAAGATTAAATGAAATTGTCCGCTCATATTACAGTAAAATTCCATTTAAAACAGAAGCCTTTGGCAAAGTATCAACTTTCGTCAAACACCTCAACGCAACAAGGAAAAAAAGACAATGTGTTAGAGAAGACGCAATTGAAAGCAACTGATTGTGTTGAGCTAAGACAGCCTCGGTTTCAACATGCCGCGCAGACGACATTTTCAGTTGTGTTAAGGAAAGTTGACCCCGAAGAACTTTTCTGATTTTCTTCCACATTCTGTGTGAGAACATGGCCTCAAAGGTAGGTAGAAGTTGCATAAGATCACTTTTAACTTGTTAATAATGACGTTGTACAATTTTACGTATGGAAGAATTTGATATTTCCGCAGGGGGCGGGAAGAGATTATTTCTTTTTTTCATCCGTCTACAAAATATGGTGAATTAACCAAAATTTTGAAATAGTTTCTTTGAAAGTATAATGAAAACAATCTTTACTGTGATTTTAATAATTGTTACTGCCAATAATCGACATTCTTTATTTATTATTTAATTTTTTGCTAAAATTACGAAACTCGCAGCACTTCAATTTCAAAGCTATTCCTTTTAAAAAATTTTTACGTCATGAAATGCTTTGTTTGGTTAAATTGCATTTGTTCCCAAATTCTTTTCATTTCTAGTTTGAAATCCCCAAACTTCCAAACGTGGAGCAGATGGATTTTAGCAAGATGGACATGACGGACCCAGATGAAGTCAACATTGAAGCATATTTCACAGCTTCCGAGCTTGCCAAGCTGTCAGATTATGAAAAACTCAGACTCAGAAATATTAAAAGAAATTATCAAGTCTTAAAAGATTTAGGTTATTTTCTGTTTTTTTTTAATTTTTTTTCCATGTTCATTTTAAATATTCTAAAATCAGAGTTTAAAATTTTCAGTATGAATACTAACCAAACATTTGATGAAAACAATTAAGTGCATTATAACATAAATAAAAAGTGTAATTTTCTATGTAAGTTACGAAGTTTCTGAAACAATTTACTATGAAAAATTGAATATAGAATTATAATTCACTAGTTTTTATATTTAGTTATATATAATATATTTAGTTAATATATGTTGGTCTTTATTTTTTATTTGTAGGTCTCCCAATTGCTAAGCCTCAGTTCATGAAGCCAAAGAAGAAACCAGCTCAGAAGAAAAAGGTGAAAGATGAGAGTTCTGGCAGCGATGAAGAGTGGACACCAGAGTTAGACAGAAGAAAGAGTGGAAGAGGTAAAATGGAAACACATGTAAAATAATATATTATTTAAATTCAGACCTGTTAAAATAGTTTGATTTGGTTTGTTTACCATTTGTTGAAGAATTCGTGAGCTTAAACTATTTCGTTTAGTCAATTTTAAATTCTAACCAGAACTTGAAATATCCCATGGACTGGGTATTTCTCTACAATTTCATATCATTATTTAACACAATTTTTTTTCAGCATTAAAGAGTGTGGAAAGATTTCAACCTCCACCAAAGCCAGACAGAACTGTTCAGAGAACAAAAACAAAAGTGATTTAATAATTTTTTACAAATTGTAAAAAAAAACCCAAAAAACTATTACATCCCAACATCCAATTTGCCAGTAATTTTACACAACAAAATATTTTAACCTTCACTTTTTTCATAGTATGCAATCTACTTGCACATGTAAAGTGTAGCTGTTATTTACATTTGTGATTAACAAATATTCATAATTTTTTTAAACGGTGTGATAATTTTTTAGGTAAACAGCATGAAAGATAAAGAGGAGAATTTAAAGGCAATAAAAACCAAGAAAAAATCGGTGTCATTGGGAACAAATTCAACATCAAACATTGTTCATAAAGGTGAGTTGTATGGTATTTATTTAAAGATATAAAGAGAGGACTAAATTAAATGCAATTCGTTAAGGAAATAATTTTGCGTTTAAGAAACTGATTAAAATATATGGCTTAACAGCCTTTGAAAGAATACATTTTTTACTTAACATATTAGCTGAAACGTAGCAAATTTAAGTTGAAGTTCAGTTGGCTCTAGTTTTCAGTTTAAAAATATCTTCCATTTTTTGTCATGTTGTTGGTGTGAATGCTCAGATAAAGGGGAAAAAACAATCACATATATGTATTTGAAAAATGACCATTTTATGAATTGCCTAAAATTAAAATGAACTTGGTGTTAAAATTATGTTTAATAGACTATATGTGATCTATGTCAGGAGTACACCAACCAAGATATCCTAAAAGAAAAGCTGGAGACAAAAACTACAAAGACCTAGAGGTGCCAGATGATGATGCCTTTTTGTGTAAGTCTGCTGTTTAAGTGCCTACATAATCCATTTGACAGCACGTGAGGACCTTTTATTATTAATTTTTTGAAATTTATTTGTTTGCCATTTCAAAGAAGAAGGTACAGGTTGCTTACTTATCACAAATGATGTAGTATTTTGACTCTTTTTATCTTACTTACAGAAGCACACTATAGTCTTATGCTAGTACATAGATGCTAGACATTTGCAAGGTGTTGGTAGATTAATAGAAATTTAAATGCAAATAAAATGTTAATAAGTTACTTTCTGCCTCAGATTGTGATGAGTGTAACATGGAGTATGCAGGAGACTGTCCAGTACATGGTCCTCTCAATATCATACAAGATGTGCAGGTACATGTACTATAGTTTACTTGAACAGTTTGCAGACATTTTGTCCTAAACATAACATGTTAAATAAAATAATGCATCATTTTTACAAAAAGTTCAAACACTTTAATTGTTTGGCAATGTGTGATCAATTAATTGGTGTGAATTTTTTAAATATACACCTATGGCTACGGTAATTCTCCAATCTATACGAACGCCGCAATAATTACGAACGAAACGTTTTTTCTCTGAAGCTGAATTTTTTGTCTCCGTTCTGTACGAACGATCGCTGGACTCACCTTGGGCACAATTCCAATTTTCCGAACGCAAGGAAGTGTGCCCAATTGAAACTCGCCCCATGATTCGTCAAAGTGAGTTTTCATACCACCGTTCCGAACAAAGGAACTGCCACTTGACAGGAGAGATTGTTATCATTTATTTGTGCTATTTTTGAATGAGACGATTGGAGGACTCAACCTTCCCGCCGGCAGCTGTAGGCCAGTTCTAAAACCATTGTTATTTAGAAATTATGAAAGCATCAGTACACATAAGTTACTTACTGTTTATTATCATTTCTTAACTTGCTTAGCACTATATCCAACTATATATCGCCGACAGCTACATCAATGATCTATATGCGCCATCGCATGCTCCTACGCTAGACGGATGTCTTGCGCAAGGCATTCTGGGATTACTTAAATGTGCTTGATAAATAAGGGATTAGAAATTACAGAGAAAATGGATAAAGGCTCGCGTTACAAAGACTTGCGTTATGTTATTCGGGAGTTGAAACGCAGACTTGATTTCTGCCAACTATTTGATAATCGCTTATGAATAACTAAATGTTTAGGGGGGGGGGGCGTAACCAGACCTTTTCAAATTCTCAGGTACAGCAAAATGTGGACTTACGCAACAGATGAAGAGCAGCCTAATTTGTATGTGCCAATTATCATTGCTTAGTTTTCACTACAAATAAAATAATCACTGAAAGTTTAAAATATTCCCGCGATTTAATAAGATTTCAGATTATTTCACCCAGAACAGCATATTTATTTAAGAAGGCGCTTTATGAAACTTTTAACTTTTAAAAATTTTGGACACTATACGAACTGCTGATTATGCCTGCTTGTGGCGAGCTGAATTCTGAATACTGTTGTTCGATGGGAAGTACTGATCATAAAATGGAAGATAATTTTTTTCCATTGTGGTGAAGAAACAGTGATACTTTATTGGGAAGATATATTTTATACGGTAGGCCCTATCATCCCGCTTACATGCGGGTGCAAGTCTCCCAAAATCAACCAATTTTAAGACAAGATAGAGCCCTGATATATCTTATATTAATTATTTGTTTGTGAAAATTGTCACCGTGTTAGTTTTTTGAAGCTTTGCAGGAAAATTCTTCCCTTGTTTTTCTTGCTCCTTATTCAACTCGCTGTCCAGATTTTATCTTAGTGCTCCCAGGTCTGGCGGAGCTGCCTTTTGAAATAAAAGCATAGGTAAATTCTTACTTTAGAAAAAGATCGCTAGCAAGAGTGCGTTCGACACACTCAAGACAAAGGCTAACTGAGGGTTGAAGGGCACTTAACCCTCCAATTATCAGTTGAGGAAGTTTCAGCTAGATGTACGATTAAGATAGGACTCTTGAAGGTAACTAGCATTGTTTACCTCAGTCCTGTGAAAGCAAACAAGACGAGGTGTCCGAACAATGATGCATAACAATTTTCACAGAGGATTTATACGTACAGGTCACATAAGCTTACATCGTAGGGGATTTTCAATTATAATATAAAATGCACTACATTTATAGATAAATATATTGTGCTTGGCCCCCAAAAATTGCACGCACCGTGCATCCGTGCGTATGCCTAGTTACATCCCTGGGCGCCACCTCAGCTTTTACTTAATAATATATAAGACCAGAGGAATCTCCAAGGCAATGTATAGGTACATTGCCGACTTAAAACTTAAACCTCAAATGTCAATTTTTGTTGATTCAATTGAGGTTTTGAAAAGAACATTTGGCACACCTTTTTTCTTAATGTGATGGCCCTTAAAAGGGCCTTTTTTCTGTATTACGCAGACTTGCTCTATCACTACAAATTATCAACAAGCAGTAACACCTTGCAGCAACTTCTTCAGTCGATCCAACAATGCCTTCTTCTTGGTAGTAAAAATTAAAAGGCATGGGACTTCTCGACCCCCATTATGAAGTTTTGACCGCTGTGGCTTTCCCGTCACTTCTACCTTTATATCTCCGTCGTGTAAAAGAAAATGATAACATATACGGGAAATTTCCCTGGGTATGTGGCCTACAGTCACATTCCCTTTCTTCACACTGACGCAAAATCTGTCCTTCCGCCGGCCGACTGGATCATCAACATCCACCATCAGTGTTTCACCGATAACTGGTTTCCAGTAAAATCTATAAACGTGAAACCCACGCACAACAGAAGAGTATGAGAAATCCATAGTCAATGATCGAGTTTTTCATTAAGGTGACATTTATACCTGTGTCAGAAACTGTGGAATGCTTAAGTCACTGGCCAAAAGCCTATGCGTAAATAAAAGAAAAAAAAATGATCAAAGTGGCGATGCTTTCTTTGTTTATTATCTATAGTTGTAATCTTCAAAGAAAACCTTTGAACCTTCGTGAGCTAATCTCGAGCTCATCTAACGAGATGTGTGCTGTTACTCCTCTTAACATCTTGATCATTATCTGATAAAATTACGGTAGGTGTGGGTTGAAGCGGTCTTAGGACTCATATTTACAAAGGAGACTGCTTATATAGAGAATATATGTAACAGCTCTCAATATACTTTATTTACGAACCCGAGTGTACTCTGTGTGTGAACATGGCAGAAACAAGAAACGAATGTCTTTTAATAATTTACAAATAAATAAAATGAACTTAATGCAGAACTGAACAAACTTAGAAAAAATTAAATGAATAACATTAATGAACTAAAGATACTTACTAAATTTCTAAACTAAATAAGGATGAAAATAAATGAAAAGCACTTAAATGATCAAACTAAACTTATAGAAATACAAAATCTAAACACAAAGAAAATGAAAAGTAAACCAATCAAGTCTATCATACCTGTGTGTGAACATGGCAGAAACAAGAAACGAATGTGCCGCGAAACAAAGAGGGGCGTGATTTATATAGAACCGAAGATACACGGACACAAACGATAAGTCACGAACACACTTCTCTACAACCACAATCATACATCATACATACACATGTTACATATATGCAAAATGATAAAAATTTTGGTATCCACAGAAACGAAGCAAATTAAATTCTTTTAAAAGAAAGAATAGCAAAAAAAAAAAATAATAATAAATAAATAAATAAAATAAAATAAATAAATAGATAAAATAATAAAAATTGATTAGTGACATTGCTTTCTTTGTGTTGAAAATGTTCACCTGTTATCTTGGAAAAATCTTCCCCAATGTCGGCCGTTCTGCCTTCGTTATCTTGATTATCTGAAAGTACTTACGAGCGGCTTGATTAGGTCTTCGAAATCTTAAAACCACGTTTATTAGCTAAGGCATAATTATCACCACGGGAATGATCTGGCATCTCCCAGCTAGAGATAACGAATCAAGATGATGGTGATAGCATCGGAATCCAGGTGGTTTAATTTTGTTGCTTACAAATCTAGCTTGTCGTGGAATGCAATTTCTAAAGCTGTAATTAAAGCTTAATTAGCATATGGCCACTCAGGTGTATTTAAAGTGGAAAAAGTTAGTGTCGTGACACACTGTCCGACATGACACAGCAAACGCTTGACGGATTTTTCAAGACTGTGAGCACGGTGGAAGAAACTTTGCCAAGGCACTGGCTACATGAGCCTCTGTCATCAGCAAATAAACCAGAAAAGCGCCCTGTTGGACGACCTAGAAAGATTCAACCAGACGTGCCACAAGACGCGCTCCTCTCGGGGGAAAGGTTATCTTGTAAGCGTGGGCGTGAGGAAATTGTAACAGAGCTCGTGCCGGCCAAGCGGGGAAAGTACAAAATGTACAACCTAGCTGAAAAGCAAGAAGTCCTTGAACTTGCAAGATTACATGGCATATCTAGCATTTCTAGGGCCCATGGCATCCCCAAATCTACAATTGGAACATGGAAGAGAGACCTGGCAATGGAAGAAGTTTCGAGAAATGCAGCCGGCAGAAAGCCAGGTGGCGGCAGGGAGTGTCTCCTCGGCAAGGAGGTGGAAGAGCAACTACTAACTTGGTGTCTTGAACAGAGAGACCTCCATCTCCCCGTATCTGTTGAGACTATATGTCACCGAGCGCGCGAGTTAGCACCGACAACTGACTTCAAGGCTTCTCGAGGGTGGGCGGCCCGCTTCATGACCAGAAATGACTTATCACTACGAGTAAGGACGACTGTAAGTCAGCGGCTCCCAACAGACTTGGAATTTAGGCTGAATGTTTTCTACAACCACCTCGGGGAAGTAAAGGAAGATGGAGAATTTGACCCAAAGTACATTATAAATATGGATGAGGTACCAATGACCTTCGACCTGCTCCCACAGAAGACCATCAACACCAAAGGGGCAAAAGACGTGGAGATCATTTCCACTGGAGCAGAGAAACGGCATTTCACTGTAGTACAGGGTGTTGCGGCAGATGGCAGTTCCCTTCCATCGATGGTGATCTTTAAAGGTAATATTTCATGAATAGTTCACCTATATAGATGTTACTTTAAAATATTTCAATAGCTGTATATTTAGCTATATACCCAAGTACTTGTTCCGATTAAATAAATTAATGTGAATAAAAAAATAAATAATAGATTTTTATCATTTAATATTTGTTTTTTTTTTTTATGTAACGCGTCACTATTGTCATATTAATAAAAGGCTTCATTCTTTGATTTCAGGCAAAAGACAACTGGACGTCGTGGCCCCAGCTGGTTGGGTTGTAGTCGCAAATGCAAAGGCATGGATGACGGAGGAGCTGATGCTAAAGTGGATTGCAGAGATTCTGCGTCCATACACTGACCGTCGTCCGTGCCTTCTTGTTTGCGACTCTTTTTCCGCGCATACTACCGACCGCGTGAAAGAGGCACTGAGCAAGGTCAACGCCAGGCTTGCAGTTATACCAGGGGGGTGCACATCAAAGGCGCAGCCTCTGGATGTGAGTCTAAACAAGCCTTTTAAAGGCCATCTGCGAAGGTTGTGGAGCAAAAGAATGTGCGAAGCGGTGAATGCAGTTGTCAAGGCAGGAGAAAATATGGACAGAGTCAAGACGGCTACCAAAGAGGAAATTGTGGAATGGGTGTCAAGAGCGTGGGGCAGCATTTCCAGGGAGATGATTAAGAAATCATTCGAGGTGACTGGCATCGTTGGTTCACCCATTGCAGAGGAACCCGCTGTGTTATTCAGTGACAGTGATGACGAGGAATTTCTTGGCTTTCTTTCTCAGAACATCGAGGAGGATGATCCCTTCAAGGACATTTTGTAAATCTTGTTATGAAAACTTTGTGCAGCATGACATTCATTAAAGGCCTTTATTTATTTATTTATTTATTTATTTATTTATTTATTTATTTCGGCAGTGCAGATATGCTAGTAATGCTACAATTCGAAGGTCAAAGTAGAGATTTTTTTTTTTCGTCTTTTGAATTGAATTAATGATATAATTAGCTTTTTTATTAAAGGCATTTGTTTTAATTACTAATTATTTTATTTATTTATTCATTTAATTATGGAAATGAAGATCTCATTAACTGTTTTTAGTAGTCATCAGGAAATCAATTTTTTAAAGTTTGAACAACTTTTAGGTAAACCTTACTGATATTGGTGATTGTGAAAAATAAAGATTCCGTATGACTTTATACAAATTTACCTGTCGTTCTGTATTTTTTTCTACTTACGTTTACATTGATTACGTGCAAATTAATATGTTGTAAAATATTTTCATACATAGACTTGATTTGAGCTGATGATATTTTTACAATCGTTTATTAACGTCGGTGATATCGACTGTAAAGAGTTACAAGTATTTTGTTTTGGCGGCAGAAATTTAAGTAATGGGAAGGGGGGGTGAAATTATAATATTGCAAATTCTCTATCTGTGAAATCATGTTAAAAGTAAAAACACAAAAAATAAAATAACAACTATTCAGTTCCTGATTCCTGTAGAAAAAATTAAATGTACTGGATACGAAAATATTCTAGTCTGTTTTTGATATAAGTTGTTAAAAACGATGTTGTCCTGTCTTGGTAGAAACGGTACAGGGAAAAACGATGTTGTCCTGTCTTGGGAAAAACGGTACCTCTTTAGTATTAAGAGGTTTTAAATTGAATACACGACTATTTTGTTTAATTTGTTACAATTTGATTAACAATATCGCAAGAACAATTTGTTTGTGCTAAAAGCTGATCGCAGTCATTTTGAACTGATAGTAATGCTTTCACTTAGCAATGTAGGTAAGTGGAGATAACTTCCGGTACAGCCGTATTCCATTCGTATTTCAAAGGATACGAACGCGTGGCAATTTTAAGCGGATTGAATTTCAAACCTTACGAACATAATGATTATCTTCAAAAAATAATTAATAAAAATCGTTCGTATAGATTGGAGAATTACCGTATGCTTAGAGTTGAAATTTCAACACTTTTGTTGGATACAGTTAACTACTGGTCGTGACTATGTCTTTTCCACATATTTTAATTTTTTTTCGTCTTGTATACAGATACACCAAGTAATTTAACATCTAAATTGATAGGTTCCAGCTGATGGTTCAGATCCAGAGAGAGCAAGGAAAACCCTGCCTCCTTATTTCAACATTTATACGTCACAAATTCCTGATGCAGGTCTTGGAGTTTGGGTCATCAGACCACTTAAAAATAGAACCAGGTTTGGACCTTACGAGGGAGAAATTTCTACAGACACAGCCAAGGCACACGAGTCTGGCTACAGTTGGCAGGTATGTTAAGGCTCTGTTGTTGAAACTGGTATTATGAAATAGCAGGACATACATATTTAATGTGAATGAAATTGTATTCAAATTGTATGATGATAGTTGGTTAATTCTCTGTACATTATTTTCATTTGTTTGACACAAAGCAAAAAGTTGATCAATTAGTTTTTTGCTCCGTCTGTTAAAAAAAGCTGTCAAAAGTTGGGGTTTTTTTTTTTTTTTTTTTCATTTTAAATAATTGTGTAGAAAGGAAAAATGGATAATTTTATTTTGCTTAAGTAACCCTTCAAAATTGACAATTACTATGAATTGATATTGATTCTCTTAATATTTTGTAATACGTTAGGTATACAAAGAAGGTCAACCCAGTCATTTTGTAGATGCTCAGGATCCCTCCAAAGCCAACTGGATGCGTTATGTGAACTGTGCAAGAACTGAGAGAGAACAAAATCTTGTGGCATTCCAGTATCATGGTCAGATATATTATAAAACTATCAAACCTATACCTGAAGGCAGTGAACTTCTGGTGTGGTATGGGGATGCGTATGCCATGGAACTGGGAATAGATAAAACCAAGCCAGAAAGCAACCTGGATCTGCTCAGGAAGTTAAATGGTAATTTTGTAATTAAACGTAAACTGGACATAAAGTGAAGTTAATTGTGAATAACTACACACCCACTGGCACAAGATTAGATATGTAGATAAGACAATAATATGCGTACATTATCAATACTTTCACAGGAAAATAGTTTTAAAAGATGAGGAAATTATTTAAATAATCACTTTTGTAATTGTTGAAAATTTCTCAAAAAATTCAGTTTGAGATACTTTTTTTACATTAAGATTGTAACCTTGATTTTGTTTTTAATATTTCAGTTGAGGTTTATGAATGTGACATATGTGGAAAGCTGTTTGCTGATGATGAATATTTGGTAAAACACCAGAAACACCATCCAGACATGACTGGGAGTAAGAAGTACAAATGTGCATTCTGTAATTACTCCACAAATTCTGTAACTCATCATCAGAACCATCTACTGACCCACACAGGTGAACAACCTCACAAGTGTGAAGTATGTGGGAAAGGTTTCAATCGTGAAGATAGTTTGATCAGACACAAACGCATCCACACTGGAGAAAAACCTTACATGTGCACTGTATGTGGGATGAGGTTTAATCAGCTGTCACATTTACACACACATCAGAGGATTCATGATAACAGTGCAGGGTGTATATGTACTGTTGTATGTTGTATTATAATTTAAAACTGTACATGTAATTCAAAGCAGCGTTTTTTGATTATTGTGTGGTAAACAGTGGTAAACGGTGTAGTGTGGCTGGTGACTTGAAGAGACACATGAGAATCCACACTGGAGAGAAACCTTACAAATGTCAATTCTGTGATAAGAGGTTTAACAGAGATTTCATACTGAAGAGACACATGAGAATTCACACTGGAGAAAAACCTCACACATGTCAATTCTGTGATAAGAGGTTTAATGATCTTTCCAGTCAGAAGAAACACATTAGAATTAACACTGGAGAAAAACCTTACAAATGTGAATTCTGTGATAAGAGGTTTAATCAGCATATTGGTCTGAAAAGACACTTGAGTGTCCACACTGGAGAAAAACCTTACAAATGTAACTTTAATTGTGATATGCAGAAACATATAAGAAAAGTTCATCCTGAAGATGCATGTTGAATAGAGTAGTTTAATAAATTATACGGTGCATGTTAGTTCAATGAATTAATTTTATTCAAAATTTTATCCAATTTATAAATGTAATCACGCAATGTATGCGATGTTTTATAATGTTTATGGTATTGTTAACATTTAAATAGATTTTGCAACCATTGCTTAGATCTACACTGTATTAATTCATTCAAGAAAAGAGAATGGTGTGCCATTCAAACAGTTTGTTACAAAAAATATTTATATTATTGTTCTTAGAAAATATGTTCTTGACTTTGAAGTAAAGTTAATTTTGATATTTAAGTCATTTTGTTAAGAGCTGTTGATGTTTACAGTTTGTTGAATGTTATCAGATTTTAATAAAGTATTTTGAACTTGAATTTTAGTCTCTCATCTATATTTATTCTTTAATTTTATGTTGAACGCTAACCTAATAAGTGGTGGTATCGGTGCTGTGAAAAATTTATTTAAAACAGGATTGAAAATAAGTTAACAGTGCGTCTGTTATAAATCTTGGATTCTTCGGAGAGTAAAGCAAGTTTCAGCACAGAGCAGACGACATGTCCAGTGTTGTACTAGGGTGATCTTGAAACTGTTGATAGAGTGATGGCAGTTTCTAATTCACCATTTGTTCGAACTACTGTAATGTTAGCTACAGCGCGGCCGCTTTTTATAAACACATTTTTTCTAAATAAAAAAAGCGTCAGAGTTAAAACTGTCTGTAAGTCAAGATGAAAACTATTTCTGTTACATACATATATTTTATTAAAAAGATCTGAACAGCAAAACAAAAAGTGTATCATTAGGTTGAAGAAAAATCCAGACCCATTTGTATGAACTACGATTTCTCGCGTTGATCATAACGAAATTACTGACACCTCATTTTGTAAACTTACACTCCTAAATACAAAGCAATACTTAAAATTAAGTTTAAAAAGTTCTCGATCGTATCCACACCCCGTCCCCGTAGGGCGGTCATCGTAGATATCCCTTATATGACGTACTGATCAGTCCTAACATTGTCCAAAAAGTACATCCCGTATGAAAAATGCCAGTGACTCAAAAACTGCTTTTCATTTATGACTGGGGACAGAATCTTTAAAAAAAAAGCAAAAGCATAGGCCTACTTTTCATTTTCAAAGATACATCATCGCTGTTTGGGAGCACTACCGATTCTCTTATCCTCAACGTTGGCAATAATGATACACTGTTAAACATAAAAGAGAGCCGGTCGAACTGGGCGCCACACCCACAAATTTATACTTTTTCTACGTACAGCTTCAGATTGGGAAAGAGTGGATGCAGTGCAAGTCGCTTTTTTAAGTAATAAAATACTAAGTGTTCAAAGAATGGGCTCCTTTATTACTATTAGGAAATTGATAATACAAGCGCTTCCGTGAACCGCGCAACTAGCACGTCGCATTAAAGATGCATACGAAGTCAATTTTTTGTCACAAAAACCAACCAGATGCCAGCATATAGTTTCAAGTAGTATTACTAAGAGAATTACCAAAAGGCATTGTTTAATTTTACCTGAAAATGATGTTTGAACTGATTTTTCTGCTGGCATTCTAAGCTGTATGTCAATGGGGCAGGAAAGTAGATCACGAAAGTAGGTTAAATTTACAACCAAAAATTTAAAGAAAGGAGCAGTCTAAAGGTCTTTTATGGCTGATCGAGTGATCTATTCAGTTTATCCCTTGGCATGTCGAATTTATTTGAGTCGTATAAGAATCTAGTAGAAGTGGTTTACATGTGTTACTGGGAATCCACGCTCCAGCGATGCTCGGTTCGTATGTACCTTTAATTAAGCCCTCTTTGCACTGGACAGCGTCCTTTCTGCGTTCTGTAGTACGGCACCGTTTGAGAGTAAAAATTTATAATAATAATTATAAACTAAAAATGTACATGTAATTCAAAGCAGCGATTTTTGATTATTATTGATTATTGATTGATTATTCTGACAGTTCCTGAAAATTTCATCAAAATCGGCCCGAAACTTTTTGAGTTATGTTGATGACAGACAGACAAACAGGGGTGAAAACATAATCTCCTTGGCCGAGGTAATAATAATAATAACAACTGCACATTGTCCAAGCTAGATAAACATGGGGGATTGTCCACACACATTAAAGATAAAGTTATACATGAAATACAAACTATTATGAAAAAAATATCATTTAAATGACACATGGAGAAAGTTCCATGGTGCAGAAAGAAGATACACATGGAAAAACTCCGAATCAAAAATTTCCTGCAGACTAGACTACTGGATAACATCTAACGAACTTATAGAAAATTGTTTTATAGAAAAGGCGGAGATACTGTACGCACCTTACACTGATCATGATGCAATATCTTTGTTTTTAAAGACAAAAGATGTGACAGTTAGAGGGCGAGGGTTTTGGAAACACAATAATACTTTACTAGGAGACGAAAGATATATTAACGAAATGAAAATTGTAATTAATGAAGCAAAAAACAGATACAATTACTTAGAGGACCGTGGTTTAGCATTTGATATGATAACCATGGAAATACGGCAGTTTTCAATAAAATTTTCAAAGCAAAAATCTAAACAACATAGAGAAAATGAAAGAGACATTTGGAAAAAAATCAACGTGCTACAAGCCGAGATAGACAATCAATTTAATAAAGAAAAAGCTAAAGAATTAGAAAAACTTAAGACTGAATATGATTTAATCTTAGAAGCTAAAACTGAAGGTGCAATAATGCGCAGTAAAGTGAGATGGTACGAAAAGGGCGAACGCAATACAAATTACTTTATCAACTTGGAAAAACGGAATCGGGTCAGAAATACAATTACAAAACTAGAAATTAATGATACACTAACAGTAACTAACGATAAAGATATTCTACAAGAACAGGAAAAGTTTTATGAAAATTTGTACACCTCACAGAACACTACCTTTAACGAGAGAATCTCAAACAAATTTTTCAATGTACAAAACATACCCCAAATTCCAAACGACCTAAAAATCGCATGTGAAGGAAAGCTAACCATCAACGAGTGCAAAAACGCACTCAAAGAACTTACAAAAAAGAAGAATAAAACCCCGGGTGTCGATGGGCTCTCCGCAGAATTTTACATGAAATTCTGGGAAGAATTAGGAGAGGAAATTGCAGACTGTTTAAATTTTGCTTTTGAAACTGGTCAGTTAAATATTAGCCAACGACAGGGCATAATAACACTAATTCCCAAAAAAGACAAGGATAGACACCGTTTGGAAAACTGGCGACCTATTTCTTTGCTAAGCGTAAGCTACAAAATAGCCGCAAAAGCACTTGCAAAACGAATGGAAACGACTTTACCAACCATTATCAACAAAAACCAAACCGGGTACGTTAAAAAAAGATATATCGGTGAAAATATAAGACTCATCTGGGATCTTATGTACTCAACAAAAAGGCAAAATAAAGAAGGGATGGCGATTTTCTTAGATTTTAAAAAAGCGTTCGATTGCATTGAATGGGAATTTATAAAAAAATGCCTGAAAATATTCAACTTTGGCCCTGACTTCATTCAGTGGTTTGACATTATGTACGCCAATGCTTCCAGTTGTATTACAAACAACGGATATTCCTCGCGATTCTTTTCAATTACAAGAGGTGTAAGACAAGGGTGCCCACTGTCCGGCCCTCTATTCGTGCTGGCCGTAGAAATACTAGCCTGCGCAATACGCGCAGATCCATCCATACGGGGAATCACTATTGATCGTCATGAACACAAATTATGCCAATATGCCGACGATACAACGCTATTTCTAAATGATGTTAGGTCCGCTAAAAACGCATTGAAATTAATATCTGAATTCAAACAAATTTCTGGTTTAGAACTAAACTTGAGCAAGTCCGAAGCCCTGTGGCTTGGAAGTAATAGATTCAACAACGAAAAGCCCCTCGGGTTGCTATGGCCAGATAGACCAATAAAAGCTCTCGGAATTCATTTCTCTTATGATTACGAAAGCTGTAGGTTTCTAGACTTCGATAGTAAAGTTGATCAAATTGAAAAGCTGCTTAACCTTTGGTCCAGCAGAGACCTCACATGGATTGGAAAGATACAAATACTGAAAACATTGGGTCTGGCTAAACTGGTTTATGCTAATACAGTTCTTGAGACCCCAAATGATATTATTTTGAGGATAGATGCTTTATTCAAAAAATTTCTATGGAATGATAAAAAACCAAAATTAAAGCAGAATACATTAATAGCCCCAAAGAGTAAAGGTGGTTTAAATTTGACGCATGTGCCATCGCACGTGCGGTCTCTGAAGGCCTCAATGGTTAAGCGCATAATGTTAGCTGACAACGATGATCCGTGGGTAATAAACATACTGAAATATTTAAACTCATTTTCAGTTGTAATTATGAACTTAAGAATATTAACATTTCGGACATGCCACCTTTTACGTAGCCATGCTAGATGCATGGAGTGATTTAATACAAACAGACCCTAATAATGCCTCCGATATAAAGAAACAGATAATATGGAATAATAGATTCATACTTGTAAACAAAAAGTCAATATATCTAAGGCATTGGTCAAAAGCCGGAGTTAATTATATTCAAGATATCATAAATATTAATGGTGAATTTATATCATTAGAAGAAATAATAAATCAACACAACTTCGATATTAAGCTACCGAATTTTCTAGAATACGAAAAAGTAAAAAAATCAATTCCAATATTATGGTTACGTAAACTTCGGGAAAATGCAGAATCAGTTGACAACACAGACTCAGATGAGATAGTATGGACTCTTGCCTCTACAAAAACCATTTACGATAAGCTAATAGAAAGAAATGTAATAAATTTACCCACAGCAAGTTTGCATCTTATCAAATCAGGCATAAGTGAAAATGATTGGCAGAGAGTTTTCTTGATACCATTTGAGTCTGTCAAAGAAACTCAACTACAAGTAATGCAATACAGAATAATTCACAATGTGCTGTACACAAATTCTACACTGTTCAAAATGAAAATAGTTACTAGCCCAGGATGTACTAACTGCCATATGAAAGAAACAATAATACATCGTTTTGTGGAATGTGTACGTGCAAGAAATTTTTGGATTGTATTTGAAAACTGTTGGAACATTCCGAATAATACCATACACTTCAGAAAAAATGAAAAAACTATAATGTACGGGTGTCTGTCAAGCGACCAGCGCGTAAAAGCTTTAAATTTCTGTATTATTGTGGCTAAACAATTCATAAACAAAAATTCAGAAAATCCATCAGTCTATGATTTTGAACTGTTTCTGCATTTTCTTAGCCAGAAGAAGAAAATAGAAAAATACATTGCTATAAAGACAGGAAAAGAAGATAGGTTTAATACAAAATGGAAACGCATTCCTACCATAACGTGTTAAAATTTTCACCTCTAGTACGCTATAGTTGCCGTTATGTAGTTCACAACAAGCATGTATACGTGTAGTATGTATGGATGGATGAGTGAGTGAAAGTATGTCTATATATTTATGTTCTTTTTTATTTTTCAGTATTTAATTACCGTAATTGCCATCAGTATTATATGCATTTAATCTTTGATTATCTGTCTAAACATTTCATTAAATATGTTATAGTTGCCGATATGTAGCTCACGCGTAGTATGCATGGATGGATGAGTGAGTGAGAGTATTTCTATATATTTACGCTCTTTTTATTTATCTATTAGTATTTAATTACCGTAATTATCATCAGCTTTGTTTTACATGCATTCAATCTTTGATTATCTGTTTAAATATTTCATTATATATGTATATTTTCTTTTTTTTTTTCTGAGTGAATAAACGCATTAAAAAAAATAAATAAAAAAAAATAAAAAAAGGACAGTTATAGCTGTTATTCTGATATCTGAGCTTGTCTTTAAACCAAGTGACCTCCATTGATAGCTATACTTAAGAGATTATAACAAAAAGACTTTTTAGAAAAATAAAAACATGGGCTAACTTTGAATGTAAAAATGGATTCATTAACCATTGGTAATTATGGGGAAATCGTTGTTTACTCCAGTATTTTTTTTTCCAAAACGAAGAGTTATTATCCCTTTAATTAAAATATTAAATCAATATGTTTGAAAAAGATAAGTTGTGGTTCTTTTAGGAGGTGTCAATAAAGTTCGGATGAATAACTAAAATAGTCCCATTTACACCCAATTATGAAAAGGATAAATAATGGTATTATCATACTAATGTTGATGCTCTGTTGTACTGTTATTCTTAACGCAATGGCCATTGAATAAAACGTGTTGAATAAATCAGTTTCTTTGGTTTTAGTTCGGCTTGAAGCCCAGTGATCTTGCACAGGAAGCTGGTTATGATGTTCTATGCTTGCTGTTAAGGAAATTTGAAAGTGATCAAATCCGGGTAGGCTAACGCACAGCATACAATTAAGTATATAACATTAAATATAATAATGGTTATGTAACATCATTAAATCGACACATATCGTAAATTAATATTTGTATTTGTCTTGCTAACCATTTGAATTGGTAGGTTCGTTTGGGCGTTTAATACTGCATGTGTAACCATACGACCTACATGTAACCGCCTTGACTGCCATCCAACGGGTCTAAAACCTCACTGGCTTAGAACATTTCTGTAATATGGATGATATTACAAGGCTTTATTTCTAATATCAATCCAATTTTTTGTCTTATCATCTAGTGAGGGCACACCTAGTCAATCCCATTTATATCCCGCTAAAATAATTATGCTTCCTTCAGATTGACCCGGTTCCTTTTAATTGTGATATATGTATTAAGAAATAAAGTCATTATCCACGGTCCGAGGTTGTGTATTCCGAGGCATTTTTCAAGACATTAATAAAAAAACAATTCAAAGAAATAAAAAAGCAAGTGTTTGACGTTTATAAGACAAAAATTATGCAACATTTTGTTTTTTCAGAAATTCATGATAACTAGGACGTTGGAGCATGTCTCTGCCGAGATGAGCCTTGATGACTTTTTTCTGCCCACCGATGGGATTATTAATAATTTTCCTGTTGAAGTTCAAAAGCAAAAAGTGCAGCGGTTGAAAAAATGGGCACATTCAAAAAAATTCAAAACTATTCAAGGAATAAAAGCTGGACTTACAGCTCAAGGACGAGAGAAGCTTTGTGGTGAGTTTACTCTGAATAAATACAAATTATGTATGAATAACTTTGCGACTTTGTCTTCTTTTTTGTTTGTTCTGTGAATCTTATTTCAATGTTTTGAACGGTATTTCAGCAATTATTTATATATTCAAACACCGACTGTGCTTATTTCGATACTCCGTTACGCTGGCATGTTTATGGTCATCAGAGTCATATTGTACCTAAAGAAAAGTTTAGTTTATATATAACTAGTTCTTTTTCTTCCGCCAACTACACATTTATCTTGTTAATTTTTGACAGTAAAAGCGCTGTTGGTGGACGTGGGGTTCTTCATTATAATGACTCGACATGTAAACGCAATAAAAACTTCCAATTATATTTCAGTTATTGCTGCAGAACGTTATGCTAACGTTGCCAAGGTGATCACAGATATGTCTTGGAAACGATATGAAAGTCTCCGTGAAGATCTTTCAACAGCCCAGTTTATGTTCCAAGAGCTTCCAATACCTGCGTTAGAAGCACAGAGCCAGGAAATCAGGTATGCTATAAACCATACTTAGCATTTAATATGTTCCACATTTCTACAGCAGAGAAGAATTTGGGCGTATGTGATATACATCTCTCACATCTTAGAGTAAGTAAGTCTTAATGAAATATTTAAAGCCGGTAAGTTCATATCTTACAAGCGAATACTGAAGTAAAAAAAAACTGGCCAACCTCAGCTGTGACACTTATTATTTCATTAAAACTTATTTTATTACCCTAGCATGGAGCATGAATCCTTCCAATATGATGCGTTCCTGATTCACAGCGGTGAGGATAAACCTAAAGTCGAAGAAGTTTTGGAGCTGCTCGAGTCACGTGATATCCGTTGTTGTTATGCACCACGTGATTTCCTACCCGGAAGAAGCATATTATCTTGCATAGAAGACGCCGTGGAATTGTCCAGGTGTACTGTGGTCATGGTGTCTGAGAACTTTATGAAAAGCACGTGGTGCCAGCATGAACGAGATGTGGCCGAGGTCAAGGCAAAAGACACGGAAGGTTATTCGGTGATCCCTGTTCTTTTGGGCTTCAAACCGTCAGATCTGCCAAGTGCTTACAAAGTCAAAAAGTTTATCCTTGCTGATAGCCAAGATTTTATTCCCACATTGGTCAAAGCTATTGAAGGTATTTTTCTCTCTAGAAGTCTTTATCTCATGGGTTTTATTTCCCTACATTATTAATTGAAACAGCAACTAAACAAATCAAACTTTGTTAACGCTAAAATGCTGCAATGCTTCTATTGAGGGGCCTCTTGTACTAGAAATGCACCGTGTCCCATAATTTACCACCTGACTATCATTCTAATTAGGTTATAGCGTATACATATTTTATATTTCTAGGC